TCACACTCTGCTTTAACAGTCTTGCTTACGACAACAATAAAAACTAATAAAATATAATCATCATCACAGGAGCAGTTTACTTCTGGTCAAAACTGACAGGCTTCCTGATTTATAGCTCAGCATGCTTCCGTAGATTCTGCTGTAACTATTGCTGTCATGGTACTGCTGGGTAATTTCAGTAAAAGCTCTCTTATCTCAGCAAATCTCTCCAGTGAATGCAAATATGTGTCAAAGGCTGGCGTGAGTGAAGGGGGAAAAAAAAATAGAGAAAAGGGTTTCCAAGGTAATAATGAAATGGTAAAGTAATGTGTAGCATTCCTGCATTACCAAACCTTTTTTTTTTAATGAATAATAGTCGTAAAAAGACTGTGCTTGCAAAATATGTGCCAAATAAATCTTTTGAAGTTTGGACAGACTGATATTAGGGAACATATAATATGATATATTGCCAACTTGAATGGTTTTCTACTTATAGAATATATATATATAGAAGAGTGAAAAACAGTGATCCCCAACTTGACTACGTATTGTGAACACATAACTGTACACTGCTGGCAGCAGAATTTACGCTGTTACTATATTTATTTGAAAAATCCTGAAAATCTATGAAATCACCAAGCATTGACATAAAGACATACTGTACTATACAGGCAACAACTAAAAAGAAGCTGAACTTTGCAATGAGAGTACAAAATAATATACAATGTTTTTCAATGTATACAGTATGCATACACATTAATAGAATAGGCAATCTGCCGGAAAAAAAATAACAATGAAAACTCTGCGCCACAAGCAAAACCATAAAAAGGAAATAGAGATGAATGTGTCTATGGCTGCTGCAGTCTTCAAAATGTGTTTAACTTCCACATTCATGAACCCTATAAATGTGTGTATATAGAGCTTCCTGAAGATGTCCAATCACAGGCAAAACTAGTTGAGGCAGTATTCCCCGACCAGTATGTCACTTCCGGTGATGTCACATCCCATCCCTGGAGCGCAAGCCGGTTTCTGGTCTTGAGACGGTGGAAGTCATTTTAACCAAAAGCTCTGTTGCTGCTTTCTTTAATTCAGGGAAGAAACCATAGCTAAAAACAAACACAAGAAGAAAACACACCAGCCAAGTGCATTACCATAAGACTTTAGTGAATAAAAGGCTGAATGCCAAACTACTCACAAAAATTAAGGGTCAGTCCAACAAGCCACTGGGGGTGTGTCCATCATCCAGGACACAGCTTATTAATTTTGAGGGTGAGCTCTGAGGAAGAGGGTCACACTTTCAAAATGTGTAAGCTGTGCCCTGGTGGATGGAAGTGCTCCTGGCGGCTTGTTGGACTGATACATGCATTTGATCCTTTATTTTTATGAGTAGTTTGGCATTCATCCTGATATTCACTAAAGTCTTATGGTAATGCACTAGGTTGGTCTGTTTTCTTCTTGTGTTTGTTTTTAGATATGGTTTCTTCCTAAATTGAAAAAAGCAGCAAAGCCTACTCAGGGTTGGTATCGGAGTTTCTTGCAGTGGCTATATTTACATTGATGTTTGACAAGATTAAAGAGAAGCCTACCCTGACTCTTGGTGTGGACTTATTTGGAGGGGTCCTTTCCCTGGAGAGTGAACTTTTACTATCATTTTCACATATACATGTGAGTGCAGTGTAATTGTAAGGTTTTTTATGGTTTAATTAAATCAGCTACTTCGCACAATGAACCTTTTCCCTAACTGTTTTTTTGAGTGGTGGAGTACTGCATTGGAAGGAATTGCATTCTGGTACATGTGAATGGTCAAGTTGGTGACAAGATACAGTGAGTCCAACCAAAAAAGTCCAGTGAGACCTATCTAGTAATAGAAGGTCCTTCCATTTTGGTTAGTGTAAATCCATGTGGGGTCACCTGGGGCACCTGCAAGTGGTCACATGTCTATTTGTTACTAATGGCACCAGCACCTGTTCACTTACCTTTTGTTTTTTAAGCAACTATTATTTGAATAGGACTTATTGATACATTGGACATTCGTTGTATTTTCTGGTGTTTATTTATTTATTTTTTTGTACTTTAACATGTGGCAAACTGTCTAGTAATCATGATTCACATTTTTGGCAGTGCAGCCATATACATTTTTATAGGAGTCAGCTGAAAGATCAGTCAGGAAATAACTGTAACATCCAATTTAGTTAACAGGTACAAAGCTAGAGGCAATAATACTAAACTGGTTTGGGATGGCAAAGAGCATGCATACACTGCAAAATTATACAAAACAGATGAAAGCTGCAAAGACAGACTCTTCAGAGCAACATCTCTATGGCTCAATCAGGGCAACATGTGGCTGCATATCCACATGGAAGAAAAATATATTTGAAATATATTTTAAAAATATTCTTCCCAAATATATTGACATATATTTGAAATACTAAAATTTTGGCCATATTCAATATATTTCATTAAATATATATACTTCATGTTGAAATGTGTTTTTATTACAAAATATATGAAAAATATTTTTAAAAATAAATTTTCAAATATACTGTATGTCTTTAAAAATACAAATCTACATTTTTGGAATGCATTTACAAATAAATGTAAAAATATATGTAACATGACTTTTTTTATATGTTAAAAAATCTGAAGAATATATTTCATACAATATATATTTTTAAAAATATATTTTTTTTTAACATATAAAAAAGTAATTTTAACATATATTTTTACATATATTTGTAAATGCATTCCAAAAATGTAGACTTGTATTTTTAAAGACATACAGTATATTTGAAATGTATTTTTAAAAATATTTTCATATAATTTGTAATAAAAAGGCATTGCAACATAGGACATCTAGCTGAGATTCATTACTTCAGTAAAACAGTTTAGTAAACAGTTATAGTCATAGACAGCATCCCTTTTAGCACAAAGTTAGCTTTGGTGAATGCCTGGAGGGATCTCAGGCCCATAGACACCCCAATAGAGCTGGTGTACTCTAGTAAAAATTGCGGATGTGCAACCCACAATAGCTGGGTCTTCTGCCTACCTACCTCTGCCTGCACCTTCCTTTATGCCATGGAAGTCTTCTTTCACATTTATTGCTAGTTCAGAATATAAGGGTGGCAAAAACCTTAATAGGCATGCAAACACATAGTGGTGTTTGTTATCAAGATCAGCACCCAGTTTAACATGGTTACTCCACCCTCCATGTCAACTTTAAACGGTTAGTCCACTCATTACAGACACTAGTGAAGGAAACAGGTATCTTATATCTCTCAGACATTCCAACCAGAAGACTTCAGCATAAAAGTCCTTAAAAATACTCCCAACCATAAAGTATGGAAGATGTACTGTATGTATGTATCTAACATACAATCTCCTAGATTGTAAGCTCGAAAGAGTAGGGCCCTCTTACCCCTCGTACGTTGTTTGTTATTGTTGTACTGTTCCATGTATTGCCCCCCCCCCCTATTGTACAGCGCTGAGCAAACCCTTTGGCGCTATATAAACTCGATGTAATAATAATAATAATAATAACAGCTGGGGGTTTACCTTTTAAGGAAGCTTGTCATGGAGGATACAATTTTTTAGAAAAACCATTTTATGTTTAACATAATGATGCTTATTTTTATCAACTAAGATAGATTGTAATGATAGCATGACAAAGTGGTATCAGTTTTACAGATTACAGTTAAAACAACTATTCATTTTAGTGTTAGAAATCGCTAAAGCTAAGCTCCATGTAGATACAAAGAAAAATATAAAAAACGCCTACAAGCACACATTTCTACATATTATTAGAATTCAGCTAAACAGTTGCACTCTGACTGAACCAATCAGATGTGCTGCACGCATATGAACTGATAGGAGAACAGCAGAGTGAGTAGTGAGATGAGCTCAGCAGTCTTCCACTGTGTCTTCATTGTCCAATCACATTCTGGATGATGGGAGGGAAATGGCTGGGTTGTATTGCTTACTGTTACTATGGTGGAGAAAAGTCAGGCCACCCACCTGGTTGTGCTGCTTAGCAAGTCTCTGTACATCTCAAGACCAGATGGACAGATATAAAAAATCCTTCGGCAGGTAAAATAACTAATTTCAGTGGTGTATTTGGCCATTTTATCTTTAATTGCAAGGTTCTCAAAGTACCAATAAAGGTAAAGGCATGATGCAAGATCATATAAACTTTGACTACAAAACTTGTTTTACTAGTTTTTCCAGCCTGTCTAAACTGACATTCACTTTTATGCTATAGTACACTGTTACAGTAAACGAGAAAAAAAAAAAAAGATTATAAGTGCTTGGTGCTAAAAGAGCGTTCACCATAAAGAAAAGAACCCTGCTGTATAGTGTATTATATTGCTTCTACACACAATAGCATTTTTTGCAGAAACCCTTTAATAAAATAATTAAAAAATGAATTGGGTCTAATATGATTCTCAACAGAGATTTAAAGCAGAATAACTTTAGGTGGACTGTCATACTTTAAAATCTGGCAAATAAATAATCTAGCTTCATACATTTGGACCAAAATGTATTCTGCTACATTTCTTTTCTGAAAAGAAAACAAATAGATGTATATTATTCAGTCTGAGTGACAGTCTACAAACTGTGTGTGTATGTATGTATATATATATATATATATATATATATATATATATATATATTTTGACAATTGAGCAGTCCTAATGTACTGATGGCCTATCTCAACTCTTGAGGCCCTAAAGTTCCAGGACAATACAAATACCCCCAAAATGACCCTTTTTTGGAAGTGAACAGTTTAAGGTATTTAGTAAGGGCATTTTGAGTTTTGGGAAGTTGTACTTTGTCACAATATTTTGAAAAATTAATTAAAATAAATAAAATTTGTTTTATTTTACAAAGTTGTAATTTAACTGCCTTCCACCCACCATATAAGGAAATGATGGGCGCAAGGCGGTTCTATCTTTTTGGGAGGATGTCATATGACGTACTCCCACTCTAAACGCACATGCGCGACCCCGGGGGTGCGCAGCGCGGCGATCAGTGGTGCCGGGGATACAGCGGATCACCGATCAACGGAAAGACGTCAGCTCTGTCATGTGATCAGCTGTGTCCAATCACAGCTGATCGCATGTAAATAAGGAAATGCCGGTTATTTGCATACTGACAGCTCATGAGGAGAGGAGAGCCGGTAATTGACATTCTTCAGAGGGGACATGTACACTGATCATCAGGGCACTGATGATCAGTGTGCCCTGATGATCAGTGTAACCCCAGCAGTGCCACCTGTCATTGCCTATCAATGCCACATATCAGTGCCTACCAGTGCACATCAATGCCACATATCAGTGCCCATCTGAGCTGCCTATCAGTGCTAGTCAGTGCCAACTATCAGTGCCAGTCAGTGCCGCCTATCAGTACCAGTCAGTGCCGCCTATCAGTGCCAGTCAGTGCCACCTAACAGTGCCAGTCAGTGCCGCCTAACAGTGCCGTATATGAGTGCTGTCTTTCAGTGTCCATCAGTGATGCCTGTCAATGCCCATCAGTGCCACCTACCAGTGCCTCCTCATCAGTGCCTGTCAGTGCCGCTTATCAGTGCCTATCACTGCAGCCTCATTAGCGCACATCAGTGAAGGAGAAAAATCACTTATTTACAAAATTTTATAACAGAAATTAAAAAAAACTTTTTTCAGTGGTTTTTGGTTTGTTTAGCAAAGAATAAAAAACCCAGAGGTGATTAATTACCACCAAAAGAAAGCTCTATCTGTCTAAAAAAATGATAAAAATTTCATATGGGTACAGTGTTGCATGACCGCGCAATTGTCATTCAAAGTGTGACAGCGCTGAAAGCTGAAAATTGGCCTGGGCATGAAGGGGGTGAAACTGTCTGGAACTCTGGACTTAAAGTGGTTAATAACACTTTAGTAAAGTAGCTCTTCGTTTAGGAGGTATGTAACTTTTATACAAGTGGCCCTCTGCTGACGGAGATGTTGTTTAGTTTTGAAAGCTGTGAGAACTATGTTTTCATAATGCCACCTTTTCAAATGAAAAGGATAAATATTTGGAAGGCTAAAATGGTGTTGAGTGATAAAACTGAAATGAATAGATCACTGGTATATTGAATAGCATTGTTCCTTACTGTTGTTGAATCCTGTTTCTCTCTGCACTATACTTATGTGGATTGCAAGATTCAGCTGTGCTCATATGGCTTTCCCTACTCAGATATCCTAGAGCAGGGGTCTCTAAACTTTCTAAATAAATGGGCAGTTTACTTTCCTTCAGATCTTCGGGGGGGCAGGACTGTAGCCATTGGGAGTAAAAAAAAATAAAAAATAAAAATACCCTGAGGTTAGTGCAGAAAAACCATTGGCACCATCTTTGGTGTCATTGGGACGAATTGTGCCTCAAAGTTGGTGTCATTGGGATGAATTGTACACTGTCATTGGTGTCACAGGGCTCCATTGTTGGTGTCATCAGGAGAAATTGTGTCCCATCCTTGGTGTCATTGGGAGGAATTGTGCCCCATCATTGGTGTCAGGAGGGGGTAATTATGCCACATTGTTGGTATCATTGGATGAAATAGTGCCCCAAGGGCCAGATAAAAGCAAGTAAAGGGCCGCATCTGGCCCTTGAGCCACAGTTTGGAGACCACTGCTCTAGAGGCAAGCTTCTTTCTTTCTATTGAAACAAACTGTGCATGTATTTGCGTATATGTCATAGGGAAACAGCAGTCATACAGGAATCATGGTATTTAAAGTACTAAATAGTATCATATGGTGATTGAAGTCTCTTACAAATATTTAAAGGATAACATTGTAACTTTAACTCAGAGCAATAATAGTTTATCAGAAAATTGGCTCTTCAATAAATATCACTTATGACTTCCTCATGTTTTCTGTGAGCTCAGTACTAAGCACATCTTTGTTTAAAAGACTGCTAAAAATGCCTGTTTTACATTTTCTTTAACAACCAAGAGTTTTTTTTCTTGGAATGCATGTTAAATAGTATGGCTGCACTTTGCTGTAATGTTTCCAAGACAACAGAACAACAGGGGTGAAGAAGCTCTCCTGTACACTTCCCAAGCTGATTATACAAACAAATATAGAAAATTCTCAAACTTCCAATCTGGTTTCTAAGACAACAGGGAAAAGGTTCTATAAACTCATGTATATGTTCCTCACCCAGACAAATAACGGAAAAAAAAAACCTTCATTACGGAAATCTAATAAAAAATAATTACCTGGGAAACAGTTGAGTTGAAATATTACATTTAAGGGAGCAGGACAATGTGTGTAGCCCTCAAGGCTGTGGCTAAGGGGGTACCACTGGTCTCTTGTGTGGGGCAGGGAAGGTGATCAGCACGGAAGGTGATCAGCAGGGAAGGTGATCAGCACAGCAGGGGTTAATTACTGGAACCGATCCCCTGTATGGTTCTCTCTGCAGCAGCTGAATATTGGAATCTTCTCCTCTTCCTCCCTCTGGCTTTCAGCTGCTGCAGAGAGAGCCATACAGGGAATTGGTTCCAGTAATTGACCCCCCCCACCAAGCCTCTCCCTGCTCACCATACGTTTCCCCCCTCACCTGAAGTCCCCCTAACCCTGCAGTTAACCCCGCAGTGCTTCCGGCTTTCCTCCTCTCTCTCCCACTGGTAGCTGCAAGCACACAATAAGATCCTTCAAGATGGAGAGTAAATATGTCACCAGTCCTTTCCCTTCCTGAATGAGCATACGTGAAAAGTAGCAATCATGTATTATGTTCATTCATAACTGACACATATCAAACTGTGTTTTTTGGGCAGGGGTCCTGTCAGGTTAGGAGCACGTGTACAGGTTACATACACAGCTTGTGTATATGGAGAATATTACAACTGAGGATAAGCATGAAGATTTTTTTTACTAGATTTTGTTACAAATGAATGGTTAAAGTGGTGACCAGGCCCAGACTGGGACATAAAATAGGCCCAAGCATTTTAGACTGAGCAGCCTATTTTTGGGGGGGAGCATTCACGGGGGCAGTTGGTGACAGAATATTCATGGAGTTGGTCCTCTGCACTAGAATATAAAGGGGACTGCACGTTAAAAGGGCACTGTATTGATTACAGTGCCCCTTTACAGCACAGTCCCCTTTATAAAACAGTGCCCCTTTACCTTACAGTGCCCCTAGAGATCTAATCACAGTGCCCCCTATATATTCAAAGAGATGGCCCAATCCAGCAAAGAGACATCCCCATATAGCAAAGACGGGATGTTTCTTTGCTGGGTGGGGGATGTTCCTTCTTGGACTGGGCTGTCTCTTTGCTTGATTGGGATGTCTTGACACAACTAGGCAAAGAGACAGCACAGTCCAGCAAAGAGACATCCCCTCCAGCAGGGTGAAGAAGAGAGGCTGCTGTTCTCCCTTCAGTGCAGTTGTCGGCCGAGGAGGTGTCCTTGTGTCAGTGACGCTTCCTGCTTGTGTTCAGGAACCGTCACTGCCACTCCTCCTGTCGGCCCTGCTTTGGGCATAGCCACACAGCAGGAGGTGAGCAGCCGCGGTCTGTATTAGCCCCGACCAGACCGCGGTTGCTGCTTACCTCCCACTGTGTGGCTTGGTCATCTTAAACCCGGCGGCCCCAGCCCACAGGGCAAATGCCTGGTGTCCCCTGTGGCCAGTTCGGGCCTGTATTAAACCCAAAACCAAAACTGTAATATATTGCAGCTTACCAATCATATTGATGTGGTGGCTGCATCAATTTATTTTCTTTGGCTTTTTTCCCCTCTGACCAATCGCACATCTCCTGTATTAGTGAGACAGAACTCTGGATAAATGAGCACAGGAGATACAGCAGACAGAAGCATTGTCAGCCTGGGGGAGGGGAGTGTTAAATGTATTAGCAGATTTAAATACAATAACAAATTGAAGCTAAACTCCAGCTCAAGCGGTATAATCAGTTACAGCAACAGGTTTTTTTTTTCCCTTTTGGGATAAAGGTTTTACATGAATAAATAAAAGCTGATAATTTTAAACACCCCTGCCAGTGTTAAATGGTCTGTCTGATCCATGTAAACTGATACATTCTGCTGGAGAGCTTGTGCTTCTGAAAATCAACAGACGTATGGTCCAGATCACCAGATGAAAATAGAAGAAAGGAAGACTAAAAAAAGAAAATGAATGCAGCCATAAAATCTAAGAATTGGTAAGCTGCAATATATTGTTTACATTTGGGCTTCATATCATTTTAACAGGGCTTTCTAAAATTACCATCTCATTAAGTCTTGTGGTAAGGGAAAAAAATCAGCATAGTTATAAAGCTGCAAGTGATAAGAGGGAAGCATTAAAATAGCTAGTCACTTTGCCCACTGGACTTATCATTTAGATAAATCTAGGCCAGGGGTCTGCAACCTTTAAGACATAAAGAGCCACTTGGACCCGTTTCCGAGAGGGAAAAAAAGACTGGGAGCCGCAAAACCATTGCAACATTTAAAACAAATCCCACACTGCATATATTGCAAAAAGCGCTCTGGTCATGAAGGGGGTTTAAGGGCCCAGTAAGCAAAGGGTTAATCAGGGCCACAGTGTATCGTCATAATCACAATCATAGCCTTAGGTCAGTGGTGGGCAACCTTTTTTTTCAACTGAGCCAAATCTTGCCAAAACCACGATTGAAATTTATTTTGAGAGAAACATTTTTAAAACTGAAAATACATCCCCCATATAGTAATTCATCCCCCCTATAGTAATTCATCCCCCATAGTAATTCATCCCCCATAGTAATTCATCCCCCATAGTAATCCATCCCCCCTATAGTAATTCATCCCCCATATAGTAATTCATCCCCCATAGTAATTAATCCCCCATATAGTAATTCATCCCCCCTATAGTAATTCATCCCCCATATAGTAATTCATCCCCCATATAGTAATTCATCCCCCATATAGTAATTCATCCCCCATATAGTAATTCATCCCCCATAGTAATTCATCCCCCATATAGTAATTCATCCCCCCATAGTAATTAATCCCCCATATAGTAATTCATCCCCCATAGTAATTCATCCCCCATATAGTAATTCATCCCCCATATAGTAATTCATCCCCCATATAGTAATTCATCCCCCATATAGTAATTCATCCCCCATAGTAATTCATCCCCCATATAGTAATTCATCCCCCATAGTAATTCATCCCCCATAGTAATTCATCCCCCATATAGTAATTCATCCCCCATAGTAATTCATCCCCCATAGTAATTCATCCCCCATATAGTAATTCATCCCCCCTATAGTAATTCATTCCCCATATTGTGTCAATTCACTTACCTTTGCTCTGCGCGTTCCTCTCGCTGTGTTCCCCGCGCCGTTCTGGTCTTCAGGGCGGACTGTGAGAGGAGAGGAGTTCGTCACGCTGCCCCGCCTACATCCTTACAGCCAATGTTTGCCAGCGGGCGCCCGGCACACAGAAGAGCTGCATTAACCTCCCTGGCGGTATGATTCTTTCCGATTTTTGGTGCTGAAAGCGGTACCATTATTTTGCATGGAAATATGTAGTTTTTTTATTGTAGGCTGTAATTTTTAGG